AAGAGCTAATGCCATGCGTAGAACATAAATAGCTCTCACACTGTAGTTATGTATAGAAAGGAAAAGAAAGAGAGAAAGAGCAAGAGACTGGGTCAGTGTCCTCTGTCACTGCCAGCCTTTCCCCGCTGATAGATTGTACTGTATTAGCTGTAACTTAGGAATAATGCATGAGACCTGGAGACTAGATGCAACTTTTGGCTCTCTGTGGCTGTCAGTCTGATGTAAACACCCAGCAGATCCTCTACTTAGTTTAACCTGTGCTTGAGAACCCCAACACTAAGCCCAGAAGGATCGGAGATGAGGCTAGAGCGACGGGGGACTGCAGAGTTTTTCAGTTACAGTTGCCATCAGTAAGTGCATGTGCAGGAGAGTGTGCGTTTTCTTCTGGACAAAGCTTTGGTTTCAGGGACGTGCAAAGATGTCCTGTTCTCCTCCCTTTCCCTTCAGTCAGTTCCCGCACACGTTCCAGGTCTCGCAAACCAAACCAGGATCCTCACATTCCTTCTGATGATGTGGGACAGTGCATTAAACCCAAACCACCACCATGGTTTTAAAGGATTGAGGCAGACAATTGCAATACCTGTATTAAACACAGTAATACAAATGCATGAGTCATATATATACATATATATATACTGTTCTTGGTTTTATTGTTCCATTTGAATATTTCTACTGTAAAAAAGGCAGTGGTTTTGAAATTGTTGAAAATAAATGTATTTTTGTACATCAGAGTTACCCCTGGCTGCTCTTTCAGTCCTTGTTCTCCAATTTCCTTTTGGCGAAGTCTGCTCTGTCTTCACTGAATTTCCCTCGCCATATCCAGCCCTCCAACCCTATCTGTCGTTCAGGGTCATGCAAAGCACATGGAGGGTGAGCAGAGAAATGTTGAAAGGCAAGACTTTTAAGATAAAAGATAAAACCACTACTTCTTCTTCCTTCTTCCTTCTCCCCTCCAAAAATAAGTATCTCCTTGCCTTTCCATTCCACAGGCTGATTCTCTTTGGAGCCTCGGAGGTGAATAGGAGGGGAGAACTACCTGCTTACACAGGCAAGGCTCCATGAATCCCATGCTCGCATCTAACAGGTTTTAGTCTGGAACAGGCTGTAGAGTGTCCATGCCAAAAAAAAAAACCAAACCAGCACCTTCTTCACTCCTTGGCACAAGAGACGAAAGAGCATGGAAATGTGTCTCTGGATATGCGTCACCCATCTCCCTCCGTGGGCACACATACATATCCCCCATCCCTGCCCCACCTCCTTTCCTTTAGCTCTGGAGGCCATCTCTGAGAGTGATCTATGAGAGACCTCCAGCATCACAGATCTCTCAGCTTTTGAAGTCTTTGGGTCTGGCCCTCTTTACAGCAATGCCAGTGTAACACTTCTGTTCATGGAATCCTGAAATACAAGTTATGAACA